CGCCCCCACCCCCCCCTGCCACTGTATCAGATGCCTCCCCTGGGCTCCCACAGTCGCCCGGCTGTCGCCAACACAGCCATGACTGCCCTCTCCGCCTCCCCGCCCTGGGCTGTGGGGCCTGTGGTGGCGAGTTTTCACTAAGCATTTGGAAGTGAACGGAGCGAGGGGGCTTCCCTGCCTGTACTCCATGCCTGGCACTCACCAAACACAAAGTTGTCAGGCCGGAAGATCTGGCCAAAGGGGCCGGAGCGGACGGAGTCCATGGTGCCTGGCTCCAGGTCCACCAGCACGGCTCTGGGCACGTAATTTCCTCCTGCCGGGAAGCAGATGGAGGTCAGCTGGGGTGAGCGCCAGGAACCAGCGTGCAGTCCCCCCACGTCCTTCCCACCCCCACTCCAGAAGGTGCCCCTGCATCCTACCTGTGGCCTCATTGTAGTATACGTTGATTCTCTCCAGCTGCAGGTCGCTGTCCCCATGATATGTGCCCGTGGGGTCGATGCCATGCTCGTCACTGATCACCTCCCAGAACTAGAGGGGTGGTGGTGGTGGGGTAAGAACCAGTAGAGAGGGAGAGGGGATCTAAGCCTTCCCTGACCTCCATCTTCTGGGCTCAGGACCGCCAACCACCTCCCTGGCTGCCACCTGTCCCCCAGCAAGGTGAACGGGGGCCCTAAAGGCATGGTGGGGAGGCAGGGATGAAACAGCAAGAAGGGAGAGGTGGGGGCAGGGTGAAGCAGAGTCGCCAGCCAAGACTGCTGGTGTCAGTGCACCCTGGCTGCAGCCAGCGCGAGAGTCTGGGACTCTTTGTGCGTGTGCAGGGGACAGTGGGCCAGCTGTGAAGCCAGCTGTGGCCAGCAGACAGAAGGCTGGTCCCCACCCCCATTGGCCTCTTTGTTCCCAGCCTGGTCCAGCCCCCGCGCCCCCTCCCTCACCGTCCCTGGGGTGCTGGCCTCCTGGAGACCCCGTTGGCCAAAAGGTCCAAGGTCGGGGAGCTCCGCGGAGTTCAAGGGCCCCGCTCCACTAGGCTCAGCCACCTCCGGGGGCCCGGTTCCCCGCGCACCTTGGCCCCAATCTGGTTGCCGCACTGGCCGGCCTGCAGGTGCACGATCTCCCTCATGGTGGCGGCGGCGCGGATGGAAAGACAGAAGCAAGAGCCGAGCAGCGGGCGCGCAGAATGCTACAACCGACGCTCCGCCGCCGTTTATATACCCGTAGCGCCCGCCTCCTCCAGCTTCCTATTGGGCTGCCAGAACGAGGCTGGCCAGTGGCCTCGTTTGATTGACTGCAGCCCCGTCAATCGAGCCGCCTAACGCCCGCCTCCTCAACTCCGCTCGCTGTTTATTGGCCAGGCGAGGCCCCTGCTCTCGCTAGCGCAGGACCCCCCATCGCGCTGCGGCGCTCAGCCCATTGGGCGCCCCTTGACCTTCCGGTCCTCCTGGCCACACAGGCCGCCACCCAGCCGCCGTCCGCGACTCACCGAAGACGAAGTTGTCCGGCCGGAAGATCTGCCCGAAGGGCCCAGAG